ATTGGTGTTTTAATTATGACCGCAGGAGAGCTCTCTCCCACTGATTTAAAGCAGCTACCTGGGCTGGACAAGATATGACCCGTGGGCCAGACCTAGCTTGCCAAGTCTTTGAATCCAACCCACATCCCACCCTGCCAGGACCCTCAGGCATGGAGTAGCCCCAGCCCATTCAGAATGTTTGGCTGCTCCCTCCATGTGCCTCTCTGTGCCACATGGAGAACTGGTCATGGGATCTGAGAGACTGTGTATTGGGGGCAGTGTGTGAAGCTCCCCTCCTCTCCCATGTGGTGCAGAGAAGCACATGGAGGACTGGGGCTGCGGCAGGCAGGAAGCCTGCCTGAGGGTCCCACTGGGATGCTGGCCTCTGGCACCAACTTCCTCCCGCATCCTGATTCTTTGCCCCAGGTCATCACTCAAACTCTCTGCACATGCCTCTATGCCTAGGTAACAATTCCCTCCTAGCCCCTGCATCCCCTGCTACACCCCTCTCCCAGGTCAGAATCCTCTCCTGTATCCATATCCCCTTTTAGACTTGGCACCCCAATCTTCTGCCCCAGGTTACAATCCCCTCCTTCACCCAAACTCCCTCTCAGACTTCATGCCTTCTCCTACACCCCAATCACCTACCCTGAGCTCCCTTGTGCATCCGACCCCCATTCCAGCCCCAGTACCGCCTCCATGGAAAAGTGCAGCCATTGACCACTTACCAAAATTTTGGCATGACCCCCTATCAAAAATTATTGCCCACCCTTGGGCTACATAGTACAGCTTTACTGTGTCAAGGTCTGTAGTATAGACATAAGCTTAGGCTTTATCTATGCTTGAAGGACAAAATTTTGGTCATTCACGCATGCTTAAACTCTTAACTGCCCCCTGAACAACAAAAGTTTTGTCACAGCAACTGGAAGTATAAATGCTGCTTTGTTGGCAGCTGTGTTCTCCTGCCAACAAAGCAAAAATTGCTTGTAGGAACTAGAAATATTTTGTTGGCAAAAGTACCAACAAAACAACATGTACACATGCGGACTTTTGGTGACAGGACTGTCAACACAGCCTTGTTACTAAAAGCTGCATAGTGTAGACGTAGACGTAGTCTTTTGCTCCAGGCTAGCTCTTTGTGCTCATCTGGTTTTCATTTTATGTGTGTTATCTCATTCACCCAATCAACCATCTAGTTACAGTATCTGAGGAACCTCCATCCCACATGGCACTAGTATCTGAGAAGATTTTGAGGCCTGATTTTAAGTATGGCCTCCTGAAGGGCTTTTTACAGCTATTTTTAGTGAAGGGTGTGTTTACACATCAACTTTAAGGAGGATGTAACCAACCCATGACAAGGTTTAACCCACCTCACAACACAGGTATTGAAAACTGACCTGATCCAGCAAAGCACCTGTGCTTGCCCTTAACTTTAAGCATGAGGGTAGCTTTAATGAACCTAGTGGAATTACTCCAATGCTTAAAGTTGAGCACGTGCTTAAATTTTTTTTGGATTAGGTCAAAGTGGTCAGCACTTAGGGATGTTAAGAAGTGTGTTATTTGTTAATCTTATAATCAACAAAAAAATTTGTCGACGACATGATTAATCAATAAGAGTTATCTGTGCAAGCTCTGAGTCCCAGCTTGTGCCAGGTCCGGTGGCTGGTAGCCAGGCTCAGTCCTGCTTCGTGCTGGTTTGGGAGCTATCCCCACTGTGGCTCTGCAGTAATATTTTTCTGCAGCGAAGGTAGCTCATGGGACCTAACATGAGCCAGGCTGCTTGCCCCCTGAGCTCCTAAACTGTCTTAAAGGCAGAGCCAAGTGCGAGCCAGGGTTGCTGGCCAGTCCTCTTAGAAAAGTTTACTGGCAAAGCCGCAGCAGAGGAGTGAGGGAAGATGCGTGTATTAGTTAGCATTAACTGATAAGCTTCCGCTTATCAATTATTCATTTAGCCAACGACACTATTACATCCCTATCAGCATCTGGCAGGATCGAACCCTGAGAATAAAGAGTTTTGAACAGTATTTATTTGTTATGGACTGTAGACTAATCTAAACTGTGCCAATTGTTTGGATCTTGAACCCTTTGTTACCACAGATATGAGCCAAAGGAGGTTTTTTGATGAGATTACATAGCACTGCTCTTTGCATACCTTTAACAAAATTAGAATCTGATGCTTTTTATCTAACAGATTAAAAAAGTTACTAAAAAGTTACACGCAGCAAGCTATTTTTTAATTCAGCTAAGAGCCCATCATTCTGGCTCTACCTAACATAAGCAAAGAAAGGCTAGTGTGATAGTGATTGAAAAGAGTATTTATTATCAGGATCTCCAGTGCACTTCTGGAAGAAGTAGAAAAATTGCAGTCAGTAGCTAAGTTCCCCTCTAAGCTGTGCAGACATCCTAGAGCCTACATTAGGGATGTAATAGTATAGTCGATTAACTGATGAGCAAAAGCTTATAGGTTAATGCTATAGACTACATGCATTTCTTCCTCCCCTCCTCCTCCTCCCCCCAATACATTTTTTAGCAGGCTGGTTGGCAGCCTGGCTCAGTCCTTGTTTGCTATGGGTCCGGGACCTCTGCCTGCTGCGGCTCTGCATTTAAACTGTATTTGGAGCTAGGCTGGCAGTCAGCCTGGTTCAGTTCTGGCTCATGTCGGATTTGGGAGCACAGTGCCACCCCATGCTGCTGCCTCTGTAACGGAGGCAGCAGCATGGGGCGACAGGCAACCAGTCTACAAGGGGAGCTGATTTTTAAAATGGCTCCCCTCACAGACCAGCTCCCGCCTGCACCCCACACTTCTTTCCCTGATACAGAGGCATCAGGAAGGAGTGGCAGGGGGCTCCTTGGAAATGGTGCTGGAGAACACTGGCTGCTGGCCCCGCCTCCAGGTACTATAGAGTAGTTAACTAACCAATAAGAATTCATAGAATCATAGAACTGGAAGAGACCTCAGAAGGTCATCAAGTCCAGCCCCCTGCTCTAGGCAGGACCAATCCCAACTAAATCAACCCGGCCAGGGCTTTGTCAAGCCAAGACTTAAACACCTCTAGGGATGGAGACTCCACTACTTCCCTCTGTAACCCATTCCAGTGCTTCACCACCCTCCTAGTGAAATAGTTTTTCCTAATATCCAACCTGGACCTCTCCCACCACAACTTGAGACCATTGCTCCTTGTTCTGCCATCCGTCACTACTAAGAACAGCCTCTCTCCATCCTCTTTGGAACCTCCCTTCAGGAAGTTGAAGGCTGCTATCAAATCCCCCCTCACTCTTCGCTTCTGCAGACTAAACAGCCCCAAGTCCCTCAGCCTCTCTTCATAAGTCATATGCCCCAGCCCCCTAATCATTTTGGTTGCCCTCCGCTGGACCCTCTGCAATGCGTCCACATCCTTTTTGTAGTGGGGGGCCCAGAACTGGACACAATACGCCAGATGTGGCCTCACCAAAGCCGAATAAAGGGGAATGATGACATTTCTGGATCTGCTGGCAATGCTCCTCTTAATGCAACCTAATATGCCATTAGCCTTCTGGCTACAAGGGCACGCTGTTGACTCGTATCTAGCTTCTCATCCACTGTAACCCCCAGGTCCTTTTCTACAGAACTACTACTTAACCGGTTGGTCCCCAGCTTGTAACTATGCTTGGGATTCTTCCGTTCCAAGTGCAGGACTCTACACTTGTCCTTGTTGAACCTCATCAGATTTCTTGTGGCCCAATCCTCCAATTTGTCTAAGTCATTCTGTACCCTATCTCTGCCCTTAAGCGTATCTACCTCTCCCCCCAGCTTAGTGTCATCCGCAAACTTGCTGAGGGTGCAATCCATCCCCTCATCCAGATCATTAATAAAGATATTGAACAAAACCGGTCCTAGAACTGAACCTTGGGGCACTCCACTAGAAACCGCCCGCCATCCTGACATCCAGCCATTGATCACTACCCGCTGTGCCCGGCCTTCTAGCCATCTTTCTATCCATCTTACCGTCCATTTATCCAATCCACACTCCCTTAACTTGCTGGCAAGAATATTGTGGGAGACCGTATCAAAAGCCTTGCTAAAGTCAAGGTATATAACATCCACTGACTTCCCCATGTCCACCGAGCCAGTTACCTCATCATAGAAGCTAATCAGATTGGTCAGGCATGACTTGCCCTTTGTGAATCCATGCTGACTATTCCTAATCACTTTCCTCTCATCCAAGTGCCTCAATATCGATTCCAGGAACCGAGGTAAGACTGCCCAGCCTATAGTTCCCTGCATCATCCTTCTTCCCTTTTTTGAAGATGGGCACTACATTTGCCTTTTTTCCAGTCATCTGGTATTTCTCCTGATCTCCACGACTTTTCAAAGATAATAGCCAAAGTCTCCACAATGACATTTGCCAACTCCCTCAGTACCCTCGGATGCACTAAGTCCGGACCCATGGATTTATGTACGTTTAGCTTTTCTAAATAGTTCCTAACCTGTTCTTTACCCACCACGGGCTGTCCATCTTCACCCCATCTTGCGTCACTTGGCGCAGAAGTCCAGGAGCCGACCTTGTCCGTGAATACAGAGGCAAAGAAAGCATTGAGTACTTCAGCTTTCCCCACATCATCTGTCACTAAGTTACCTCCTTCATCCATTAGGGGCCGCACCCCCTCTCTGATCACCAATTCATGAGGTTACTCGACTATTCAACTAACCATTATTCAACTAACCGTTATTTAACATCCCTAGGCTACACCCTGACCTGGAGACCACATTTCCACACACCCCAAACCTCTGTCCCCTCTGAGCCCTGCATCCTGAGCCCCTCATCCCTAGCTCCATCCTTCACCTCCAGCTGGAGCCCTCTATCTCACCATTCCTATCTTTTACCAGAGCCCCCTCCCACATTCTGAACCTCTTAGGCCCATCCCCACCATATATCACTTCCCTATGGGTGCACACAACAACATTTTATTCTGCACATGCACAGAGAAAATTCACGGGAACATTAGAGAAAAAGAGAGCAGTGAATTGGGACATGAAATGGGACTCTCTCTAATGCCATGGCATCCAACCATTTCTCAAGTGGCTACTGCTATAGCAAACTAGTCACACTCTACCGGCCAAATAGCCACATTGTTCAAGTCAATTGGCCAAATAGCCACATGTGGCTAGTGCCTAGCATGTTGGACACCACAGTTCCAGTGCATAATATTATGTTTCAGAGTGCTGACCATGTGTCCTTTTAACTTCTGAAGCTATGACATTTATCTAATGAATTTTCAATGCAAGTAACATTGGATATTTTATAGTAGTTTATTTTTACTCTAGGGAACTGAAAAACATACAAATTTAATCATAAAGCTGATCCTATATCCTCAACTCAGGCAAAATTCCCACTGATCCCAGATTTTGGTCCTAAATTACAGATCTCATGATTTCTTTGGATTTTGTTGTTGTGTGTTTTCTTTTGTAGTACAAAATGGCTTATTTGATTTTAAGGCTTATTTTTCTCTTTCTTTGCAATGTGTATTTTAAAGAAAACATTTTATTCAACATATTTAAAAAAAAACTGTAGTTACAACATAAGTTTGGACAGTTTTTAAAATAAGCTGTTTGGCAAGCACTAGTCTGTTTTCACAAATCTTTGCCTCACTGCCAACAGATTAGCTTATGGTACTCTTTGAAAATCTGCCATATGAATTGCCAATCAAAAGTCCTGCCTGAATGGACATTGTGTAACTTTGTGGCTCAATCCCTGTTGCACAGAACTAGTGGACTGTGGCAAGACAGAATCTAATCCTAAAACAAATACTTTCTGGGCATTCCCTCTGTGCATAGATTTCGTGATCAGCCCATACCCACAGTTATGCGTTCTTTGTAACGAAATTATTCCTCCTAATGCAGTGAGAGGAACATATTTACATGCATTTTCTCAAGTTTAGTGGCGATGAAGTGGAAGCAGTAAATATTCCAAAGTGCAGGAATGTCTTCACTGTCTAGAAAGCAAGGGGAAGAGGACTGCCTTAACCTGTGTTCAAAACACATTTCTCACACTTGCTCAGAGGAATATAATCATGTCAGTGATGATTTGTTTTTATGTTGGCAGGATTCCTTTCCACTGAAAGTTCGTGGCATCCACTTGATTAACGAGCCTTTATTCTTCCACCCGGTCTTCGCTCTAATTAAGCCCTTTCTCACTGACAAAATAAAGGAACGGGTGAGTGAACATAAATACATATTTTTTTGCTTCTGCAATAATAATTTCCATTTGGGCCTGGGTCCTGCAATGCCTGAGCAAAGAGGATAAATCCATTTTACACTTTCCACTTTTTATAAAACTTTCAGTTGGGGAATCTTTAAGCATTGCACAAATTTTAATGATTTCAGACTTGCATCATGCCTGTGAGGTTGACCATATCACAGTCCTTACTGATAAGGAACACTAGCATACCAAGAAGTTGAATCAGTTGCCCAGTGTCACACAGCAAGTTTGCAATAGAGTTCGGAAGAAAGCCCTCATCTCTTGACTCTGTGCTCCAATTGATGATAATTACTCAATGGGCACAGACATTGTGCTTCTCTACAAACATACTAGAAGACACTAGACCAGCTCCAAAGAGCCTGTGCTGTCACCTGTCACAGGCTAAAGATTCAAATTGCAACTGCTGCAAAGTTGTTTTTAAAAATTAGCTTTTGAGTTATTTTAATTGAATTTGTAGTTGTTGTTTGTTTAACTTTAAGTCCCAGTTACATTTGGATGCAGCCACACATCAGGAATTCCTGCAAGACTGCTCTAGCATGGCAAACTGTGTGGCAATGATTCCAGGCAAAGTGGGCAAGACTAAACTGATTCTGAGGATGAGGAGAAAAGAATGAGAGAATAGAGAGAGCCTCAAGACTGCTGAAACAGAACAGAAGCAGTCTGAAGTCAATAGTGAGGGCCAGCCCAGGTAGTCTGGAAGTGTCTAGCAGAACGGGCTTCTCATTAGTTTTAAGAGGGGGCATTGCTTTCTCTCTCTCTCTGGACCACTTGAAAATAGTGACCATAATATAATAAAATGTAACATCCCTGCAGGGCTGGCCCACAACATGCCCCCTCACTTGGGCCAAAACTTTGAAAGGTCTCAGTTCTGCCTTCTTCCTGTTCTACTCCTCTCATGGTACTGCAGAGAGAATACACAATTTTCTACACTCTGGGTCCTAGTGGCACCCCCGCCCCCTGACAGTCTGGCACCTGATGTTGCCGCCTCAGTTTGCCTCATGGTAAGGCCAGCTCTGCATCCCTGTAGTGGGAAAAACACCTCAGCAGTCCAACTCTGTGGCATTTAATTATAGAAAGGGGGAACTACATAAAAATGAGGAGGTTAGTTAAACAGACATTAAAAGGTACAGTGCCAAAAGTAAAATCCCTGCAAGCTGCCTGGAAACTTTTCAAAGTCACCTAAACAAAGGCCCAACTTAAATCATAGAATCATAGAATACTAGGACTGGTAGGCACCTCGAGGTCATCGAGTCCAGTCCCCTACCCTCATGGCAGGACCAAATACTGTCTAGACCATCCCTGATAGACATTTATCTAACCTACTCTTAAATATCTCCAGAGATGGAGATTCCACAACCTCCCTGGGCAATTTATTCCAGTGTTTGACCACTCTGACAGTTAGGAACTTTTTCCTAATGTCCAACCTAAACCTCCCTTGCTGCAGTTTAAACCCATTGCTTCTTGTTCTATCCTCAGAGGCCAAGATGAACAAGATTTCTCCCTCTTCCTCATGATACGTTTTTAGATACCTGAAAACTGCTATCATGTCCCCCCTCAATCTTCTCTTTTCTAAACTAAACAAACCCAATTCTTTCAGCCTTTCTTCGTAGGTCATGTTCTCTAGACCTTTAATCATTCTTGTTGCTCTTCTCTGGACCCTCTCCAATTTCTCCACATCTTTCTTGAAATGCGGTGCCCAGAACTGGACACAAAGCTCCAACTGAGGCCTAACCAGCGCAGAGTAGAGCGGAAGAATGACTTCTCGTGTCTTGCTCACAACACACCTGTTAAAGCATCCCAGAATCATGTTTGCTTTTTTTGCAACAGCATCACACTGCTGACTCATATTCAGCTTGTGGTCCTCTATAACCCCTAGATCCCTTTCTGCTGTACTCCTTCCTAGACAGTCGCTTCCCATTCTGTATGTGCAAAACTGATTGTTCCTTCCTATGTGGAGCTCTTTGCATTTGTCTTTATTAAACTTCATCCTGTTTACCTCAGACCATTTCTCCAATTTGTCCAGATCATTTTGAATTATGACCCTATCCTTCAGAGCAGTCGCAACCCCTCCCAGCTTGGTATCATCTGAAAACTTAATAAGCATACTTTCTATGCCAATATCTAAATCGTTGATGAATACCCCAAGTAAAAAAAACACAGTAAGAGAACCAAAAATGTGCCACCACGGCTTGGCTTAACCAAGTAAAAGCAGTGAGAGATAAAAAGGCATTGTTTAAAAAGTAGAAGTTAAATGCTAGTGAGAAAAATACAAAGGAATATAAACTCTGCCAAATTAAGTGTAAAAATGTAATAAGAAAAGCCAGAAAGGAGTTTGAGGAACAGCTAACCAAAAAATCAAAAAGTAAAATGTTTTTAAGTACATCAGAAGCAGGAAGCCTGCTAGACAAACAGTGGGGTCCCTGGATGATCAAGATGCCAGAGGAGCACTCACAGACAATAAGGTCATTGCAGAGAAACTAAATGAATTCTTTGCTCCAGTCTTCACGGCTGAGGATGTTAGGGAGATTCCCAAACCTGAGCCATTTTTCTTAGGTGACAAATCTGAGGAATTGTCCCAGATTGAAGTGTCATTAGAGGAGGCTTTGGAACAAACTGATAAATTTAACAGTAACAAGTCACTGGGACCAGATGGCAGTCACCCAAGAGTTCGGAAAGAACTCAGATGTGAAATTTGGGAACTATTGACTGTGGTTTGTAACCCACCGTTTAAATCAGCTTCTGTTCCTAATGACTGGAAGATAGCTAATGTGATGCAAATATTTTAAAAGGGCTCTAGAGGTGATTCTGACAATTACAGACTGGTAAATCTAATGTCAGTACCAGGCACATTAGTAACTATAGTAAAGAATAAAATTGTCAGAAATACATGAACATAATTTGTTGGGGGGAAAGTCAGCATGGTTTCTGTAAAGGGAAATCATGGCTTACTGATCTACTAGAGTTCTTTGAGGAGGGTCAACAAACATGCAGCCAAGGGGAATTAGTAGATATAGTATACTTATATTTCCAGAAAGCCTTTGCCAAAGTACCTCACCAAAAGCTCTTAAGTAAAGTAAGCTGTCATGGGATAAAAGAGAAGGTCCTCTCATGGATTGATAACTGGTTAAAAGACAAGAAACAAACGGTAGGAATGAATAGTAAGTTTTCAGAACGGAGAACGGTAACTAGTGGTGTCCCTCCAGGAGTCTGTACTGGGACCAGTACTGTTCAATCTATTTATAAATGATCTAGAGAAGAGGAGTAAACAGTGAGGTGGCAAAATTTGCAGATGATACCAAGCTGCTCAAGATAGTTAAGTCCAAAGCAGACTGTGAAAAGCTTCAAAAAGATCTCACAAATCTAAGTGATTGGGCAACAAAATGGCAAATGAAATTTCATGTTGATAAATGTAAAGTAATACACATTGGAAAAAATAATCCCAACTATACATACTAAATGATGGGGACTATGCTAGCTATAACTACTCAAGGGAGAGATCTTGGAATCATTGTGGATAGTTCTCTGAAAGCATCCACTCAATGAGCAGCGGCAGTCAAAAAAACAAACAGAATGTTAGAAATCATTAAAAAGGTGAACATTTTATTGCCTCTGTATAAAACCACGGTACACCCACATTTTGAATACTGCATACAGATGTGGTCACCTCATCTCAAAAGAGATCTATTTGGAACAGGTCCCCTATGAAAAGTGATTAAAAAGACTGGAACTTTTTAGCTTAGAAAAGAGACTTAAGGAGGGATATGATAGAGGGCTATAAAATCATAAGTGGTGTGGAAAAGTGAATAAGGAAAAGTTATTTATTGATTCCTATAACATAAGAACTAGGGGTCAGCAAATAAAACATAATAGGTAGCAGGTTTAAAACAAACAAAAGGAGGTTTTTATTCATGCAGAGTATGGTTGGCCAGTAGAACTCCTTGCCAGAGGAGTTTGTGAAGATCGGGACTTTAACAGGGTTCGAGAAAGACCTAGAGAAATTCATGTAGGTTAGGTCCATTAATGGCTTATTAGCCAGGATGGGTGGGAATGGCATCCCTAGCCTCTGTCAGATGGGAGAGGGATTACTGTTCTATCCGTGTTCTACTCACTCTATCTGGGGTATCTGGCATTGGCTGCCCTCGGCAGGCAGGATACTGGGCTAGATGGGCCTTTGGTCTGACTCAGTATGGTGGTTCTTAAGTTCTCTCAGATCTTCATTGAGAAGCCCTGAACACAAAGACAATTAATTAGACGCTCATTTGATATGGGAAGTCTTAGTGTCATGTACATTTGGAGAAAAGCCAGATTTAATCTTAAGAGCTAGAGCTTGGAAATGAAACATGCATTTGACAGGAAGTACTGCATGACATTTCAAAGACAGATATAAGGAGAAACAGAGCTGTTCCGCAGTAGTAGAAGTTTAAAATAGCTGATATTCTGAGACGTATGGTCTGTGCGTGTGCTGTTTCTAACCACAGAAAAAACCTTTGAGATGACATAATTGTCCCATTTAGAAATGTTTTCTTTTACGTGTTGCAGAATCAGAAATAAGCATTAATATTATGTAGAAATATAGAAATGGAGAAATGGGGGGGGGGGGCCAGTGTTGACACAGGACTAAGTAAACCTAGACAATCTCAGAGGTGTTTGCCTAGCCTGTTATTGCCCATGCCCAGCCTGTTATTAAAACCCTCAAATAATGGGGATTCCTCAACTGCCTTTGGAAGCCTATTCCAGAGTATAAAATACTCATAGCGAGAATGTTTTTCCTAATGTCCAACCTAAATTTCCCTACCTGCAGATAAAGCCTATTATTTCTTGTCCTACCTGCAGTAGACCTGGAGAACATTTGAGCATTGTCCTTTTTAGAACAACCCTTAACATACTGAATGGGAAGGTAGAGGAGACCGTACTTTGCACGGCTGGCCCAAGCACTGAGTAGATGGGGTATACTATGCATATCCCTAACTTAAAAGCTACATCATGTAAAATGGCCTTGATTTCTATGTTTGCAGCTGCATAAAACACAGATCGTTGGAATTTCAGCAGGGCTCAGCGTTGCATTTCATCCTGAACTAAGCAGCAAATAGTGAGTTAAAAAGCTTTAGGAGATTATGGTAAAGCTTATTTGTTTGCTGTGAATGTACATTAAAACCAGTGACGATGTAGTTAGTGAACTCTAGCTTGTGCTTCAGTCCCCGCACCTGAGGTTCTTTCCTTTCTTCTCAAACCATTCAGGGATTCAGAAGGAAGTACAGGTGTGTTTGTATTATGTAAACTGGAAAGCTATTTTTGAGTGGCTTTTCTTGTTTCAGGTGCATATGCATGGGAGTAACTACACACAGAGTCTGCTGCACCACTTCCCGGCCAGCATTCTCCCACAGGAATATGGTGGGGAGGAAGTCTCCATGGAGGACCTTTCCCAAGAGTGGACTGACTTCATAATGGAATCTGCAGATTATCTTCAGAGTATTTCTCTGGTTTTCCAGTAAGGCAGCCGTATTAAAAAGTAAGATCTCGATACTGAGACAATTCATTAAAATAGAGCTGCAATTAATTCCTGGTATTACGGCTGTAAGCAGAATGAACTTCAAATATTTTTCATTTAGATTTGACATTCCTTTAAAAGGGACCACTGTAAAAGGTCTAATAGACCATTGCTGAGGGTAGAAATGCCCCAGTTGCTGCATTTTTATATTTGCTTGAAGAGGAGATCGAATAGTAGTTGCATCATAGAGCTAACGGAGAGATTCATGAGTTTCAGAAGAGGGATAATATACAATCTGTTATAAACATTATGGATATGTGTCAAAAAGTTAGCTAGTGCTCATATAGGATACTGCTGAGAACAGGATTCCTCTAGATATGTTCTCTTGGAGCTCCACTCTGTGACAACTCCATATAAACCACGTGCTCGGCTCTTGCTTTGCACCTGCTCAAGTTGATGGGCTGACACAAAGAGTCAAATGATTCTGACAGCTGCAGGGCGCATCTGATTTGGAGTTGGTCTTTTGGCTTAGAAATGTGTTGATACAAAGTAGCAATTTTCTTAGGCCTAATCTTTGCAGAAAATAGGGCTGGTCCTTAGGCTGATTCTCAGGGAAATGGATTTCTAGTCAGTTTGTACAGCTGAGCTTGCACTTTAGATGAAAACTGGTCAGCAGTGATGGAACATAAAAGCAGCTGGCACAGCTGTGAGCTGCATGTATCCATGTGGGAAAGTAAGATGGTAAGCTGCCAAAGCTGCAAAGGGACATTCCACTTGGAAACTATTAAAAGATCATGTGAATCACAAAGGTGGGGAAGAGATAAATGGATTAACTTAACTTTGAAAAATTATTTTTTCCCTGTGGCAACCATTCTGCTCAGATAAGTTACAAAGCAGCTTCTGTGAGGTGCCAAACAACCTTGACTTCTACTGAATTCACGTGGAAGTAAAGGGTGCTTAGCAATGCCAAGGACGTGGCCATTTGTTTGAGGGAAAGAAAATGGATTTTGCTTCTTGGACTTGACTATAGAAATAAACTTGTCGTGTGGTTTCAGTATTCTCACTGACTGCTGCTCACTATGGATTTGCTGCAGTGAGATGCCAATTGCCTTCCTTTTCTTCCAAGAGGTGCCAGCAATATTCAACATCTTGCATGCCTAGGTACTGGAAGAATATTTTTTGCTTAATGTCTTTGTTGTTGACCCCACTTCCTCTTTAGCCATTACAGACAATTGAAAACTTGCTCAATCTCTCTGCTAAAAGTAGTTCTTAAAGGGACACCAGCCACATACAAATTATTATCTTATCTTTTAACAAAATGATACATGGTTCTGACATGTGTTACACAGTGATAACATAGATTGTTTAAATCCTTTCAGTTTAAATGATGAATGTACTTCGATTTTGATTGTTTTTCAGCAGACTAACTTCCTAGCTCTTGTTTTTGACAAGGCAGGAATTGTCCAACATAAATATTAAACAGCTCTTTATTGACCCTAATGGTAAAGCCTTTATAAGAACAATATCTTTTGTAAAATTGACTCAAATGTTTATTTTGCTTCTTTTTTAAATATCAAATCTACTGATGATTCCAAGAACTTTCTCTTCACTTTAAATAGCAAAGGAGAAACCCAGAGTGCCATATTAACATATCAGTAATGTCTTGTATGAGTTTTGATGATCAGTAATACTGCTCAGGCTGTTTCATCTGCAGCAAGAGTTCTCTTTAGAGATAGTTGTGGTGGCTTTTTCCACTGTGATACACTGCCAATGCCAATGAACAGCATCTTTTTAAAGCTACAAAGCCAACATGAAAATAAGAATCTTTGTTTCTTCATCTCCTTGTGCACAGTTTTTTCTGTTGTCCTGGACCCTTTTGATCTGTAGTCTGTTTTAAAACATTAACCTTCAAATTATGGTCAGAAGAATTTTTCATAATGCTTTGTTGTCAGAGAATCAGCTTGTGGCATGATTCAAAATTTCTTTTCTCTGAGAATATTATTGTAAGGTACTACTTGTTTATATGCAAATAAAGTAATAAGTACATACCTGGCAACTTGAATAATGCTCAGCTACACAATTCAAATTCTAAACTACTGGGGAGAATTGGAAGCTGATGCTCTTTGGTGTATTGCTTTAAATTTTAGTTCTTTGGAAAGAAACACCATCAATTGACTGACAATGCAGTGCTATGCAAGAAAACAAAACTCTGTCTTGTAGCTATTTTACCTGGAAGAGACAAAATCTATTCCGAGTTTTATATATATGCATCCCTACTTACTTCATTTGGGTTGCATGCCTGTAAATGAAAGTAAAATTTGGCTTTAAGAGGTACAAGGCTTTGGTTTTGTTTAACACGAAAATGCTGAACTCTAAGTAAACATTCAGGGAGGGGGGAAAAAAAACCCTCTAAATGCAAGTTAAATGATATTGCCAAAACATTGAAGGTGGGGCAGGTGTGATTTACTTTCTTCATGGGACTCTGATTTAGTTTGTAATGATTACACCTATTGTATCACAGAGTGAACTGTACTTAGGAGTAATTTAAGTAGGAGTAATTTGATGTGGGTCTTACGTCACCAGTGAATATTGTTAGATGGGTGGAGGGCCTATTGTTTTACACATACAGAAGAAAAATGATGTAGCTTTGAATTGTAAAGTACACATCTCATTCCACTGTGATTGAAGCAGGAGTGCCTTTAAAAAAAATTCTATAAATGCAAAGATAATTTGCTATTGACTGTCCACACGCTGTAATGTACAAAATTATAAAAACAATGTACGTGTTGTACCTTTATATTAAAAAAAGTAAACTTACTCAAACATTCTAGGTGTATCACGTAGTCGTTTGTCTTAACTTTTTATTACGAAAAATGTACAATTAAAGGATAACATACTATGTCAAATATTACTTACTAATTAGTCAGGATCAGGTTCATATTCAAAGAACCTGGCTAAAGTCTCTGGCTTGCTAACTGGAGAGCCATCCTCCTCCTCTGAATATGCAAAAAATATGCTGAATTAGGGATGTAAAAGGTTAACTGGTAAGCCTGACCCTTAAGGAATGATGCTTACTAGTTGTGGTCAACTGGTAAGGGCTGGAACATCTATCCCTTCCACTCCTCCTCCCTGGGCAGGAGGTTGCTTCAGCCCCACAGGACCTTCCGCAGGCAGTCCATTATGCCCCACTCCCACACCCCCATTTTTCAAAGGTTACGTGCTGTGGCTCTCTGGGAGCTAATCTTTATATTGCATAGCCCGCAGTCCATGTAACCTCTAAAATTTTTTAGGGGTTACATCAGGGCTACTCAACATGTGGCCCCTGGGCTGCATGCAACCAATGGTACAGTTTGGGTTGATGTGTGTTTTAGTAATTAAATTTCTGGACTGTTGTGAAGCCAAAATAAAAACACAGTTAATACAATGGTCTTCTGTTGATATGCATTTTGGACTGTCATTGCTCATTAAAAATGCTGTCATAAGTGGAAAATGGGTAAATATTGCATTTGATTAATATCAGCAGAACTGACTTAAATGGGGTATGCGTGTTGTGTAGTTTTGCCTAATCTTTGTATTCATCCCCATCAGTGTGAACCATTCTTAAGTTGTGGCCCTCAGAATGTGCTGTGAGTATTATTGTGGCCCCTGGGGCTTCCAAAGTTGAGTAGCCCTGCTGTACAGATTGGCATCAGAATAGACTGGTTGATAGACCATCATATGCAATCAGCTGTACAATGAATCCATTGAGAGAAGCCAGAGGGACTTTACCAGCAAACTCACCAATGCTGCTAAGAAACTGATATGGACTCTTAACTCATATGTATGTATCTGATTGCTCTGACCATTTTAACAACTCTCTTCTTGTTGTTTTCTTTTATAATAAACATTTGGATTTAGGTCCTAAATGACTGGTTGCCAGTGTGGTATTTTGGGCAAGATCTAAACTAGCATTGATCTGGCATTTTGGGGATCATTTTGTATAGTGAATTGTGTTAAGTATTAAGTATCTCACTTTACTGAACCTGTTTGATGATTGGAAGCCATAGACTGGAATGCAATAAAAGGGGCTGTGAGGTTTCTTCGCCCCCCCCCACCCCCCCAGCTTCTTGGTAACCAGTTTGGATGGATCAGGAGCACGAGATTGTAGTTGGATTCACCAACCAGTGCTAGTCACCAGTTTGGCAGCCTGCCTGACCACCTGCTAGTGTAGACTATCCGGGACACCTTAGGTTACACCAGCATTACCCAAAGAGAAGCAGCACAAGCTTTTTTTTTCCTGTATAGTCATTGATGTTGGGAAAATGGCATTTGATGTGATACAAAGACATGAGTTTTTCAATTTTGTCACATCTTGCAACACTGTCAGGAGGCCAGACTGCATTGAAGTCCTATGCTTGGATGCAAACTGGTGCTTCACATTAATGACCTTTACAGACTGACTCAGAGGTTTGGCATAGTAAGCATTATGGTTTTGAGTTTAGAGGATGGCATAATTCAAAGAAAATCCCCTATCCAGTTGAAATGAAAAACTTTTTTTCTGTTGACTTTGTGATTTTACTTCCCTTCCCATCCATTTTCCACACTAATGAAAAATGGGCAGTATCATAGTTCAATTATAGCTGATGCTATTGTAAGAACTTGAAGCCAGTAATCAGTCCTTGCCTACAGACAGCCCTCCAACCTGAAACAAATTCTCACCAGCAACTATACACCACACCACAGTAACTCTAACTCAGAAACCAATCCCTGCAACAAACCTCGGTGCCAACTCTGTCCACATCTACATCAGCAATCCCATCACAGGACCTAACCACATCAGCTACACCATCTCATTCACCTGCACATCTACCAATGTAATATGTGCCAGCAATGCCCCTCTGCCATATACATTGGCCAAACTGGACAGTCCCTACGTAAAAGAATAAATGGACACAAATCAGATATCAGGAATAACATACAAAAACCTGTAGGAGAACACTTCAGTCTCTCTGGACACACGGTAGCAGATTTAAAAATAGCCATCCTGCAAAAAAAAAACTTCAAAAACAGACTTGAAAGAGAAAATGCAGAGCTACAATTATTTTTGCAAATTTGACACTATCAATTTAGAATTAAACAAAGACTATGAATGGCCAGCCAACTACAAAAGCAGTTTCTCTTCTCTTGGGATATGTCTAGACTACATGCCTCTGTCAACACGAGGCATAAGGGATCAGTCGACAACAGCTTTCCTTGTCGACCGATCCCCGGCTTGACTGCCGCTTGGAGCCGGCAAACAGCTGAGCCGGCACAACGCGGCGACCGTTTTTATGCTAATGAAGAGGGGGAAATTTAAATCTCCACTTCATTGACTATGTTGGTATGTCTAATTTACATGCCTCTGTTGGCAGAGGCATGTAGTCTAGACATACCCCTATTGACCAGGAACAGTGATCTGCAGCCAATGGGAGCTGCGATTGCCAATACCCGTGGAGACACGAGTAAATAGAGTGGTGGGTATCCACCAGGAGCTAACCCTGGCAGAGCAGATCTTGCCTGTGAGATAGTATTTGCCTACCCCTGCTATAGAAGTTGCACAGCACTTATAAGACCTTGAGAAAAAGAGGCTAGACTTACAGCAAGCTGGTACCTACCAGTGCAGTGTATTAAGAGGTTTTTTTCATTTTCAGACTTAATAACCCAGGTGCTAGCTGCGGTCTGTCAGGTTTCCAAATACATGCTGATGCCTTCAGAGCCAGGTAGTGCCATGTGTACATAAATAATGCTAGGACTCAGGGAATGGAGGGAGACTGCCAGTAGTGCTTGAAGTGTCCAGGTCTGATTCCTCTTATGGCTTACTGACTATTACCACAAAGAGCTCTGTTTCGCAACTATTCCAATTTCCAGGTTCTGGATCAGAATAACATTCTGGTTTCCACAGGCTGATGACAGCAACAGCACTTAACCAACAGTAAGAAGTAAAATAAACAATACTACAATACTACAAATGAAAACCAAATTTCAGCCATGCACAAAATCACTCTTCATGGCTGATGTTTTGAGGATCATAAAATCATAGAATAATAGAACTGAAAGGGAACTCCAGAATTCATCAAGTCCATTCCCTGCACTCATGGCAGGAACAAGCACCATCTAATCATCCCCGAGAGATGTTTTTCTAACATGTCCTTAACATTTCCAGTGATGGAGATTCCACAATCTCCCTAGCCAATTTTTTCCAGTAATTGACCACCCTGACAGTCAGGAAATTATTTCTAATGTCCAATCTAAACCTCCCATTGCTTCCTGTCCTATTATCAGATGTTAGAGAGAATAATTTTTCTTCGTCCTCCTTGTAACAACCTGTTAGGAGCTTGAAAGCTATCATCTCCCTCATAGTCTTCTCTTTTCCAGACTAAACAAATCCATTTCTTTCAGTTTTCCCTCACACGTTGTTTTCTAGACCTTTCATCATTTTTTTTTTAATTCTCTGGATCTTCTCCAATTTGTCCACATCTTTCCTGAAATGTGGTGTCCAGAACTGGATACAGTACTCCAACTGGGGCTTAATCAGCAAAAAGTAGAGCGGAAGAATTATTTCTTGTGTCTTGCTTATAATACTGATAATACATCCCTGAAAGATGTTAGCATATTTTTGCAACAGTATCACACTGGTGACTCATATTCAGTTTGTGGTCCACTCTCACCCTTATATTCCTTTCTTCCGTACTCCTCCTTAGACAGTCGCTTTCCATTGTGTATGTGTGAAACTGATGGAAGAGTACTCCTTCCTAAATGGAGTACTTTGCACTTGTCCTTATTGAACGTAATCCTATTTACCTCAGATCATTTCTCCAATCTGTGCAGATCATTTTGAATTATAATCCTATCCTTCAAAGTACTTGCAACTCCTTCCAGCTTGGTATCATCCACAAACTTTATAAGGGTACTCTCTGTGCCATTATCTAAATTGTCGATGAAGATATTGAACAGAACCACTGGTGTCCAAACCACTGGTGTCAATGGACAGATTTTGGCTTAGGTCCTGAATCTGTCTGCTTTTAAAAAAGAATGGCTGTGTCTACATTGGCATCCCTTTCCGGAAAAGGGATGCTAATGAGACACTTTGGAATTGCAAATCCGCGGGGGATTTAAATATCCCCCGCGGCATTTGCATTTACATGGCTGCCGCTTTTTTCCGGCTCGGGGTTTTTGCCGGAGAAAAGTGCCAGTCTAGATGCGATTCTCCGGAAAATAAGCCCTTTTCTGGAGGATCCCTTATTCCTACTTTCAAGTAGGAGTCCAAAATTTCAGTGGGTACATGTCTACAGGCGGGGTGGAGAGGCTTTTAAGCCAGTTCCCTGCTTGTACTGGCTCCCGCTTGCCCCTCCCCTATCAAAGGCAGCAGCCCAGGAGCAGGAAGCAGGGGAGGGGAAGGACTGTGTGTAATCGTGAAGGTTAACAGAAGAGCACAGGCTCACTGATTAATCATTTACATGTTTACTCTATCACACCCCTAATTTAAAGGTATCTTATTTGCAAGAACATAGTCCTGTTTGGAACAGGGTTATATCAGTGCAAACTGGGTACATTTTTGGTTCATGGTAGCAGGGTCAATATAGGGCAGGTAGAGTGCAACACCTTATTGTTGCCTACAGTTCACTCACACTAGCTCTGCTACCATATAGACAAGCCCTAAAAATTTGCTTGTATTAGGAATGCAGGTTTTGAACCTAAAAGAGCAGAGACCCTTCCCACAAGTGGAATTCCTATTAACTTGAATGGTAGTAATCCCAGCCCAAAGTACGATGCGCATGTACATGTGGGTATATAATATGAGAGAGTGTATTTCTTCATGCGCAAGGAAATAAATCTTGCTGTTTTGTTCTGCTTTGTAGTACTTCATTGAACTGTTTATAGTGTACCACTGATTTCCTTTAATACTTGAAATAAAGTCTACACACGCTGTTTTATATTGTCCTTGCAAGCTGCTCTGATTCTCTGATCTGTTCTGATGCAGTGGTAGAACAGAGCAGTCTGGAATCTGCTTTAAACTGTGCCCCCTGGCAGCGGTTCCTGGAGACTGTCTGTGGGTTGCCAGAATGTATTGCTCTCCAGCCACTCCTTTCGTGCAATGATTCTGCTGGTTCTCCTCCTGCAGTAGATGATCCTACACTTGTGATAATTCTGCCCACTTTGAATCACTTGCAGTGTAATGGAGCAGAGCAGGGGCAGAGAATGTCCCTTCTTTCTAATAACTAATCTCAGCTCTGAAAAATTAATGTTGTTATCCTGGAGGCTCAGTGGCTCCCAGGAACTGTACCTTTAATCTATGAGCAGTCACAAACTTCATTCAAGATGGTGGGTATGATAGCAGCCTGTTATTCAGGCTAAATGAAGGAGCACTTAAATGCATCTTTGTTTGAAGTCATTACCTGAATCACAGACCAGTAGGAAAAAGCCGGAGTAGGAGATAATCCTTGAGGTCTGAGGAGTTTGGACTGCTAATTGACTGCAAGCACAGTGGCTGGGTATTGTCTGGTGGAGCCAAGTTGTGCGAGTGAGTTGGAAGCAGCTACAGGCACCAAAGAGCCAGAAGTCAAGAAGAGAAGTACTGGTAAAAGGGCCCTGAGAGAAAGCCAAGAGAGAGCTTTATTAGGCAGAGTGCTAATTAGAAAGAGGCAAGGAACTGAGAAAAAAACTGGCTTCTGTTAGTTGATTCCTAGTGTTCAAGGAACTGAGACTTTGTGCACAATCTTTGTAAAGAAATAAGATTTCAACTATTTATCATCAATTTCTCCTCCTAATGGAAATAATCGGCAGGACCTTGAAATGGCTAATTATGCAGGAAAAGAGGAATTTATATATAAATATCTTCCAATCAAGAGGGTTGATTCTTAATTACTTAGCACAGGTATATAATAAT